ATCCCCAGCCCAAAGCCGTACCCCCTTCTGCACCCCAACCCCCTGCCCCAGCCCGGAGCCCCCTCCCACACTCTGAATCCCTCGGCCACACCCCCCAGCCTGGAGCCCCCCCCCTGCACCCCAAACCCTTCATCCCTGGCACCACCCGAGAGCCCTCCAGCCCAAATCCCATACCCCCTTCTGCATCCCTACCCCCTTCCCCAGCCCCTCCCACATTCCAAATCCCTCGGCCCCACCCCTCCGCCTGGGCCACCTGCCACCATCACATTGCCATGGCTGGTGCCACGCATTGGCAGGTTTGCCAGTGTGAAGAACTGGGAATGTTCTTAATGTTTTCTCTGAATACTGGGTGGGTGCCTCAGTTTCCCCTATGCATTTCTTAAGTATCTAGGTGGGGGGATCAGGGTATGTGATTGTTGCAGAGCCCAAGAGGGTCCTTGTGATACCATCTGCACAGAGAATGGCCGACACGCTGTCTCCTGGCAACTAATGGCCTGGGCCCCTCCTCTACAAAGGTGCCAACTGAAGGTGTTGGGGAACAAAGAGATCAGGTGACCTCCTGGCCCGGGAAAGGGAGTGGAGGGGCTGGAGAGTTTCAGTTTGGAGCTGGCTGGGGAAATGGAGGGAGGGCCAGAGGGGCTCTGGCCTCCCTGCCTCCCCAAGATGGACCTGACTGAGGGGTCCTGTTCTCTGTACCTACAAGCTCTGTTTTAGACCGTGTTCCTGTCATCTAATAAACCTCTGTTTTACTGGCTGGCTGAGAGTCAGGTCTGACTGCGGAGTTGGGGGGCAGGACCCTCTGCTCTGTGTGAGGCCCAGGGGCGAGGGAGGGGCAGGTCCCTGCTCTGTGTGAGGCCCAGGGGCGAGGAAGGGGCAGGTCCCTGCTCTCTAGGTGCAGTGGGGGACGGGTAGGTCCCAGCAGACACTGCCTGAGGATCTGTGGGGTGCTGGGAGGTTACGGCAGGAGCGTTACTGCAGCCAGGCTGTTTTTGGCAGGGCTGATTCCTCTGAGGCAATGCATTAGCATTAGAGCTGCAAAGACCAGGAGGACGTTTGTCGACAGCAAATATTTGGTTTAATCCAGCTCCTCTCGCTTGTCTGGCTGGAACAACACAGAGAGCAGATTTCAGGCTGCGCCACTCGTTTCAGTGTTTGCAGAGAAACACTGACAAAAACTGCCGCCCTCGCCCCGCGGCCTGTGACCGGAGCGTCCAAAGCCACGGGATTAAACTGGAATGGCAGGCGAGTTCAAAGCGTATTAAAGGAAGGGACTCAAAGCCCTAGCCAGAGCTAAGCACAATACGGGCACATGCTCTGCTAGCTTTCCACACACAGCTCTGCCCTCGCAACTCGGACCTGACCCGCAGCAACCCCGCATCCCCAGTCCGAATCCTCCCCCACCTCTGCTAATGCCCAAGGGTGCTGACTCGCAGACCCCACATTCTCTGCAATGCACCTCCGTCCTGTCTTAACCCCCCGCTATTCCAGTCCTGGGCCTCTCTTGAACAGAGATGCCAATGGCCCCAAATTGGGTGGCATCCTACTTCAGCTCTGAGCAGCGAGCCACGGAGGAGGTGGGGGGCGGGGAGACACACAGCCAGCCTGTCTGCTTGAAGCCAGACAGAGTTAAAAGAAATGCAGCGCTTGATTCTGTCCTGGCTCTTGCCTGTAATTGAAGGAGCTGGGAGTTGTAATAACCAGAATTAAAAGGATTCACCTAGGGATGGGAATGAAATCAGATGCCAACAGGTGAATTCAAGTGGGTAAGCTCCCCCATCTCTCCAGCAGCCCGACCTCCATCCGAGTTTGCAGCCAGTCTCCAGTTTCAATTTGTCTCCTCCCTCTGGGAGATTTAACCTCCGAGTATCTCTCTTCATTTAAAGAGACAAATTTAGCGGCCTAGAAGTGTTGGTGCCAAATCAGGCCCTTATAACCTAATGCTACGTGACAGGCAGGTGGTGGATATCTGGATACCAGCGAACTAGCTATATGGTGCATCAGAAAACAGAGACAACAATGCAGAGCGCTTCCCTTCTATCTATGACCCTGGCACTGCGATATCTGAGCACCTCACAATTCAGTTGCCCTCCTAACCTCCCCTGTGTGGCAGGGCAGGGCTGGAATTCTCGCGGTATAGCAGTGAGACTAAAGGACTTGCCCAAGGTCATGCAGGGTCGCTCTGTAGCAGAGCAGAGAATGGACTCCAGGGCTCCCGAGTCCCAGGCGAGTGCTCTGTCTGCTACCCATATGTGCTCAGTACCACAGAGTGAAGGGGCCCAGGGTCACAGCTTTGGTGGCGGGAAAGGTAGAATGAATTCAGCCCAGGTGAAAGGCACTGGGCTGCCAGCCCTGGAGACTGAAGTCCAGTATTTCTGGACAGAATGGGCAGGAGCAGGGCAAGCTGCCCGCACCACTGCACTTCACTCCCATTCAGCCCTGGCCTCTCTGCCCGGGCGGACAATTAATACCGATTAGGACAAGGGTCTCACTAAGAACGGGACTGGGACCCACCCAGTCATGCACACACTCCTAAAGAGTAACAATCGCCAGTCACGAATGACTGGGGCACCTGGAAGCAAACAGCATCCCAGCGCCTTGCTAACTCCCTGTGCCACCAGCACACCCGGCTGAAGCAGCCACGTGTCCCAATGGCTCTGAATACGGTAGCGATTACATGGAGCAAAGATGGGGTCAGGGCCCTGTTCCTCTGGGACTGGTCTCGTACTGACCTTTGCTGGCCAAGGCATGGACTCTCCTGCGGGGTTTGCTCCCCGCCCGGGCCATTCACCCACTGGGTGTTGGCAGGAAAGCCAGAAATGGATTTCAGGCCACGTGAGGGGGTGTCCACCCCATGCAAGCCCATAGTGGGTTAACGGGGTCCAGCAGGGACCAATTAACCTTAGATGCTGCACTGGGAGGAGAGCCAGGGCGCTCAGACAAAGCCCGGCTGTGGGGAGAAGCTGGGCTTGGATGATAAAGCCAGGAAGTGAGAGCAGGAGGGGGCTGCAGGGAAGGGGCTGCAGTTGCTCCTTACAGGGAACGGGAGTTGGCCGGGGACAAGGAGGAGGTCCGGGGGAGAGTAAAGGCTGGGGTCCTGCCCTGGACTGGAGAGTCGGGCAAGAGGCCGAGAGGGATGAAGTAACTATGGGGAGCACAGGAAGCTCTGCTGGCAAGCCCAGAGATAGGCAAGGAGACAGAGAGGAGGGTAGGAAGGAGCCCAGGGAAACAGCAACAGGGTCTGAGACTGAGCAGATCTGGGTTTGCTAGTCACAGGGTCCCTGGGCTGGATCCTGGAGTAGCACGTGGGCCTGGGTTCCCCTACCAGCCGCTGGGAAAGTGTCACCAAGCCAGGAGTTGAGCAGAAGACTGCCCAAGATGGCATCCAGATAGCTTGTCTGGTGGGACTTTGTTACCCTGGAAGGGCGGGGCGGGGTGGTGGACTACACAGTGATCTAGCTGGAGGGCCGAGTGCCAAAGAGGAAGCACCCTGAGTCATGGAGAGAGAGAAGGGCCACAGTGCAAGCAACTGATGGAAAGGGCGCCAGATGGGGCAAGAGCTAATTCCCAGACCCAACCACAAGGAGGCGCACATGCAGTGAGTGGACCCTTCACAGACCATGATGGAAGAGCAGGTGTGGTTACTTTGCCAGTTCTCCAAGACCACTGGGTCATCTCCCAGGCCATTAAAAAGCAAACTGTATGCACACTCAACCTGCACGCCCACCTGCACACCGCCATCTATTCTGCACACACACCCCTCCACCCACCCACGCCCATACACAAAGGCAGAAATTCATACAATAAGATCTTCGCTTACCAAGTAAAGCTGCCACTTCGTATGCTTTCTTCTGCTCAATTGTCTCATAGTTGAGTGCTTCAAAAAATATATCCAGCACGAGAATATTCTCTCTGTAGAAACAGGACAAAGCCATCAGAACACCAGCCCCCGGCAGCTGCATTTGCCTTGTAACAGGAAATGAAGTGGGATTAGTTTGCTTTCTCCTGTTATCCCTGCTGCCTTCTCTGTGGAGGCCTTGGCAGCTCCACCAACACAAGCTGAAATTCAGAGATTTTAAAGCCGGAAGGAGCCATCATGACCATCCAGTCTGATCTCCTGCTTAACCTCGCCCAGAGATTCCTGCATCAAGCCCAAATCTTGTAGTTGAGCAAGTGCATATTGTTTAGAAAGAGACACCTGGTCCTGATTTCATCTTTCTCCTGCGGGGAGGGCCTGCTTAGAATGGCAGGTGACGCAAGGACCCTTAACATATGGAATCACTACCTGTGCTGATCCTGGGCACCACAGGAGAGAGGGAGAGTCAAATTCTTTCTTTGATGCATCAAACTGTTAATTCCACCCATCCGCCCTCTAGATCCCAGGTTCATATGGGCTGCGCCCACACCACAGAAAGATGTCTTTGCTGCAGTAAAAGGCGTGGTTTTCACATCGCGACAGCTATCTTGATTTAAAAGCTAATGGAGCCAATGCAGAGGGTTGACCTCGAGTAGCCATACTCAGGTAACAGCTACCGGTGCCTTGTCTCCATTTGGATTTTATGCTGTAGGTCCATGTAAAACACACTCACTTCTGCAGTGAAGATGCAGCCAGAATGTGGCGTTAGCAGAGGAGGGTTTAGGTCCTGAAATGATCTGGCCTGGGTAACCCTGTTTTACACTCATTATTCACTCATGATACCTATTTATCTATGGTGTTTATCTGGCCCCTGTGACCATAACATCTGAGCACCTCACAATGTTTACTGTATTTATCCTCACAACCCCCCCCTGGGAGACAGGGCAGGGCTGCTATCCCCATTGCACAGATGGGAAAACTGAGGCACAGAGAGGCTCAATGACCTGGCCATGGTCACAAAGGAAGCTCCCAGCAGAGCAGGAACTTGTATTGAGGACCCAGGCAAGTGCCTAGCCACCAGGCAAAGCAACTTTTGTGAGTTGACCTAATGACTCTGCAAGTGCCCACATTCTTCTCCGCCTTCAGCTTTCCTGTCAGAAAGATGTTGGACCTTCAGCTTCTGGTTAATGATGCCTGCAGAAATGTGAACAGCATCCTTGGGGCAAAGAGCCTTTTATTACTACTTGTATGACCCACAGGGCTGGGTGCTGCACTGACACATTGTGAGGGACAGTCCCGGCTCTGAAGAGTTTACAAACTACATAAACAAGGCAAACGGTGGGAGAGGCAGCGATTTGCGCAATGACAGCACAGCTGGGAACAGAACGGAGATCTTCTTGCCCCTAGTGTGTGTGGCCCCGGCACAGCCATCCTGTCTGCTCACGCCACCCACTCATACCATCACTACTGTGAAAAGGAAGGAACCGGCAGCACTGGGCCGATGCCCTTACTTACGAGATGTATTTTTCAGACTTGTTAAACTTCTTCTCCAGGTACTTGGCTGAAGTTTTGCTGGGGATCTTCACCATGGAGAGCTCTTTGTTGTACCTGGTCAGGTTACACGGCATCCTGCAGGTACAGTAATTGCTGTCCTTTTCAGCAAGCAAACCTGCAAACAGAGGAGGGAAGTGGGTCTCAGGGAGCATCCCAGACAGCTCACAGGAGCTGGTGGGCGGGGTGGTTCAAACAAGCCCTTTCTTCTTGATGATTCAAAGCAAAGGGGGGATGGAAGGGACTTCCCTGTCCAGGGAAGGATGGAACAAGCCAACTCTTTGATAAGAAGAGGCAGAGTTTCCACCCATTCAATCCATCCCTCTGCTGCAGCCATTCCTATCAGCCTGGGAGATCGAGACAGCCCTTCCCTGGGACTGGTCCAGAGCCCGGACGCAGCTCTTCCATCTCCAGGAAGCTGCGTTGGGATAAAGGCCTTACTGGAGAGATGGGGGTCTTGAAGATGGTGGGTAAAATCTTCAAAAGCATCTAAGTGGCTTAGGGACCTAAGCCTCATTTTCAAAAGTGACTTAGGCCTGGTCTATATTTAAAAGGTAAGGTCACCATCATGTCATCCCTCAGGGGGTGTGAAGAATCCACACCCCTGAGCACCAAAGCAACGCCAACCCCCGGTGTAGGCACAGCTAGGTCAATGGAAGAATGCTTCTGTCACCCTAGCTACCATCACTTGGGGAAACTGTGTTCCTACGGCGATGGAAAAACCCTTCCATTGGTGCAGGCTGGTTACAGCAGCATAGCGATGACACCATGGCTGTGCCATTATTGGCCCCGTAGTATAGACACGGCCTTAGGGCCAGATTTTTAAAGGTATTTAGGTGCCTAAGGATGCAGGTAGGTGCCTAGGTGCCTAACTCCCTTTGGGCACTTTTGAAAATACTACTAGGTGCTTACTGGCGTCTTTAGTCACCTAATGCCTTTAAAAATACGGCCCCAAGTGCTTTTAAAAAAAGGACTTAGGCTCCTAAGTGATTTAGGTGCTTTAGAAAATGTTACCCTTTATTTCTATCCTTCGCTTTTAGCTAAAGTGGTATCAGAGGTACGTTACATGACAGTGAAAAGCGATTAAACAGTATGGAGATGACCAGCTTAAGGGAATTTCTACTAATATTCCTCCCACAAGCCGTACAGCTTGGACACACGGTTAAAGTCAATACAGACATGCAAATATTTGGCATTTCACAAACAACCGAACCTCGAACACAGCACAGGTCCCTGTGGACTGCCCCGCCACTCACCTCACTGACTTACAGGTATGTTCATCTGCAGAACATACAATTAGTGAGGCATATGCTGAAATACTCTGCAAGCCCATCTGCTGTATCACAGTTAAGTTTGTTTGCGAACACATCAGATGGCATGTTATATGGTGTTTCTGAGGGCCTGCTGTTTCACAACTGTTCATCCAAAACTTCTGAAACTCTGCAAGAAAATTCTCTTCTGAGCCGAAAATGACCCCCAAATACTATTATTATTGTTTGTTGGGGTGTATAGGGTGAGCTCTGCATAGTAAACAGTCACACCTACATGGGGTGTTTGTTTGCAGTTGGTCCTAGCAACTCACTCATCAATCATTAGTGGCTCCAAGTAGCTACGTGTGCTCTGCAGCACAGGGACCTTGCCTCTGGGACCATGGCCTGGGTCCTTGCCTTTGCTGGCATGCTAAACCTCGCGATCATAGCTAGCAGCAATAGCCACTAGCGAAAGGGAATGTATGGCTGTCCAAGTGCATCATGTCTCCTAGGGTGAAGCTGGCAAAACAACTTTCAAAGTTGGTGGGAGTGGTGATGGAGAAAGCTAGTGGATAGCTTAGAGCTTTGGTGCAGATGGATTATGATACACTGGTCAACCACAAAGCCAAGGAGTCACGGTCAAACACATGGAGACTACTGGACCATAGAAACTGAATGAAGACTGGAAAGAGAAAGAAAAGTATCCCAGCTCGGTTGTCGCCCGGACAAACAAGAGCTGCGATCACTGATCAGACACTGAGGCAGGGGCAAAAAGTATGAGATCAGAACAGACACAAACAAAACAGCAGGCGGAACAGGGAATTACGTGATGAACTCAAAGGACAAGACTTGTTGGAACATGGAATGGAAGAACATTATACCAGTCTGGAGGACATGTGGTAATGATGCACGAGCTGAAAAGATATGAGTGGGAAATCATTGGTCTATGTGAACCAAGATGGGAAGGCAAAGGAGAATTCTCCCACGAGGATATTGACACAGGAAAGAGAAGATGGCGGACACCAGGACAGAGTTACATTAGTGATAAAGCCTAAGCCACGCCTGGCTCTTATAGCATTTAACCTGCTATCTGCTCATATGTTGAAGGTGAGATTCAGAATCAAATCTCATGGAGTTACAATAGTACAATTACACGTGCCGACCTCAGCAGCCCCCAGAACTCGATGAATTTTATAACGCTCTACAGAAAACAATACCAGAAGTTTCAAGACAAGACATGTTATGAGGATGGGAGATTTTAATGTGAAAGTAGGCTAGGACTGGACTTCCTGCGCTGGAGCAGTAGGCAGATTTGGATTAGGTGAAGAAAACGGGAGAGGAGAAAGGCTGCTAAATTCCTGCCTAAGCAACAATCTGCTGACAATGACCATGCTATTTCCACAAAGCAAGCCGTGGAGGAAGTGGACATGGCTATCACCTGATGGGCAAAAGAAGAAGATGGTAGACTTTGTGCTTGTGAATCACAGATGGAAATCAAATGTGTTGTTGTGCAGATCATTTGTGGCTGATATCAGACCAGATCAAATGTTACTGCTGGCATCAATGAAGTGGAGGCTGAGAGCAATCTGAAAAGTGCCAAGAACTGAAATCTATGACATGGGCAAGTTCAAAGAGTCTGATATGAGGAAAGAATGTGCCGGAAAACATCACCTCTCTGGTGAATGAAGAAACGAGCGTTGAAGAGGCAAGGAACAGCGTAAAAATGGGATTACGAGAGCGGCTGAACAAGTTTAGGATTACAAGGCCAAGGAGGATAACGGATGAAGTGCTGCAGTTGAGTGACAAGCCCAGGAAGCTGCAGAAGAACAAAAAGGAGGATGTGAGTCTACGAGCTGAGTACACCAGGCTCACCATAAAGATAAAACCAAAAGTGAAGAGATACAGAAATAACTGGGGTAAGCGAACAATGCAAAGAAGGCGAAGAATAGGCAAAGAGAACGGTGACACAGAGGTTGTATCACAAGATAAGAGAACTGAGTGGGACATATGAATTGAAGAGGTCGGTGGTAAAGACAAGTGAGAACAAATAATCGAGGATGAACAAGGAAAGAATAAGTGATGGAAAGAATACTTTGAAGAGCTGTACAATGTGCAGAACGTAGTAGAGGAAACAGCCCCGGAGAAGCGTCCCAGCACAAATGACGGAGAGCAGATGCTGGAATCCTTAGAAGAAGAAGCTAAGATCTTAATAGAATGTTTGAAAAACAAAACGGCACCGAGAAGTGACAAGGTAACTGCGGAGCTGCTCCAAGCAGGGGAGGAACATACGGTAAAGGCAATGCACAAGCTATTCAAGCAGGTCGACAAACAAGAGCAAGTATCCAGCGAACCGGGGAAAGTAATTATAGTATCGATCTACAAAAAAAGGAGATACGAGGGAGTGTGAGAACTGCAGAGGAATCAACGTATTGAGTGTGCCGGGGAAGCATTCACCAAGATGTTGCAGAAGGGGAATGTGGAAGTGGCGCTTTCAGAGGAACTAGCCTGGAAATACAATAGATCAGTTATTTGTGATAAGACAGACACCAAAGAAATATATAGTACAAAACCGAACCTGTTACAACCATTTTATAGACTTCAAATGGGCTTTTGATAGCATTTGGCCAAAGGCTTGTGGTAAGATATGAGACTGTACAGCACCCCTGAAAAACTGGTGAAGCTAATAGAGACTGTCCACAGCAAGTCGATGAGGGTGGTGAGAGTAGACAAAAAAGCTGATGGGGTGGTTCAGGACAACCACAGAAGTGAGACAAGGATGCATTCTATCCCTGGATTTGTTCAGCCTAGTACTGGACACAGTGATGGCTGTAGCATTGAGACATGAAATGGGAGGAGTCATGTTATGTGGGAGCATAGTGCATAACCTTGGATATTGACCACACAGCATTGACCAAGGAGGGTTTACAGACAAGGTAGACCAGGAAAGCAGAAAATATGGGTTGAAGATCAGCTTGGAGATATCCCATCTCCTGGAACTTGAAGGGACCTTGAAAGGTCATTGAGTCCAGCACCCTGCCTTCACTAGGCAGGACCAAGTACTGATTTTGCCCCAGACTCCTAAGTGGCCCCCTCAAGGATTGAACTTATAACCCTGGGTTTAGCAAGCCAATGCTCAAACCACTGAGCTATCCCTCCCCCCCAAAGAGCAAAATGACACCAGTTGGAGGACAAGAGAAAGAGGGAAAGGTCAAACTCAGAGACGAAGAACTAGAACAAGTGGGAAAATGGGTGTGCCTTGGAGGACTGGTTTCAGAGTAGCAGCCGTGTTAGTCTGTATCCGCAAAAAGAACAGGAGTACTTGTGGCACCTTAGAGACTAACAAATTTATTTGAGCATAAGCTTTCGTGGACTACAGCCCACTTCTTCGGAGGACTGGTATCGAAGAAAGGGAAGTATGAAGATGATGTAAAGAGAAGAATTGGATTAGCCACTTATGCATTTGGAAAACTCAGCATGATCTGGGAGGCTAAAGACATTTCAATAAACCAAAAATCAACATATATGAGATATCTGTCACACCGATAGTGCTGTACGGGTCGGAAATCTGCAGTCAGAAGAAAGCCATGACGACAGATTTTGACTGCAGAAATGAAGTGGCTGAGGGGAATACTGAGAATTTCAAGATTGCAGAAAATAAAAAATGAAGAGAGAAGAAAACAAGAATAGCTTGTTCTCATTAAAGGTTACAGGAGAATAGACGTGTGTGTGTGAGAGAGAGAGAGAGACAGAGCGAGAATGAGGCTTAGCCACTGAACCCTAGTTATAACATTAGCTATGGAGTCTCTCTAAACCAACAGCTATCTGAATCCCTAGGGGTCAGAATGTATCTGAGGCCCAGGGTTCAGTTGTCCTACTTCCCATGGCATGATTTCTGCTCCCGCTGGGTTGGGACTGCTTGGTTTCTAGTGTAATTTATGCATACAAATGTGAACAAGTCAGATCAAGTCTGTACAGAACACATTAGAGTCTGCAATAATGAATAACGTACCCTCCCTTCTCACCAGAGATCTGTAAAGTTTCTGTCCCTTCCAGGACATAAAGTTTTATCCAGTTATTTCCATCCGTCCATAAGGAGGCATGTCTCAGAGCTTGGGGAAGCAACGGCAGCTACCGTTGGGTGAAGATGCTGTGAAATCCCCTGGGGTCCTATGCTCCACGGTCCCTTTAATAAGTCGTGGCATAATATTTACACAGCGCTGAACATTCTGGAGGAGCTGGGCAGAAGTGCTCTTTTAGTAACATGTCAAGACAAGTTTCAGAGTAGCAGTCGTGTTAGTCTGTATCCGCAAAAAGAACAGGAGTACTTGTGGCACCTTAGAGACTAACAAATTTATTAGAGCATAAGCTTTTGTGGACCACAGCCCACTTCTTCGGATGCATCTGCTTCTATTACTGTCTGGGCCGGAGTGGGAAGTGGCTGCATGCTGGGACATGGAGAGCACAGATCTGACACAGTCTATATTCATTATTATTTATTTGTATTGGAGTAGTGCCAAGGAGTCCAGTTCTGGACTAAGACCCTGTTGTGCTAGGCTCTGTACATTTTTATTGGTCTTAGGTGTATTATGGTAGCACCGAGGCACCCCAGTCGTAGCTCAGGATCCCACTGTGGTAGGTGGTGTACATTTGTATTGCTATTAGGTGTATTTTGGTAGTGCCAGGACTCCATTGTGCTTGAGGTGCCTACCCTTTTCCTATCAGAAGGGAGCCCCTAATGTAGCAGGTTTCACCTTCGAAGGCCCCTGCCCCAAGCTTTTGCCAGGTACATGGACACGGGGGAGAATAACATGGTGCCGCTGAGAGCTCCTGCAATCACCTGGGAACAACCCCGGGAACGTGGCCCTTTGCAGCACGTTCGGGTATCTTTAACACCCCCTCACACCCTCTGAAAGGAAGGCAGAGGGCCCAGCTGAGGAAGGGGGTAGGGGGCGGGCAACACAACAGTGACTGTGTCAGTGGAGTTACACCATCCCATTGGGTGTTTTCTCTATTCGGCCTGCCCCGCAATCCAATTCCCCAGCATGTCCCATGTGCCACTTCCGAACTGTGGCCAAGGGGTCCCCACGGCATGAGAATATGGCACCTGTGGTCCTTTATTCTGGCATCTTCAGCTCTAAGCATGCAGCTTAGAATGGCTCGGAATGAAGTTAGAACATGATCCTACGGGACTGGAGGAACCTGCATGCAATGACATTTCGGCTGCCGTCAGAAACGGTCCCGTTGCTGCCTTCGCCGGATTAATCCTGGCCCAGCGGGAAAGAGGGTACAGGCAGCTTTGGGGAGTCTGACCCAGCCATTATACTCTGCAAAGAGCCAGGCCGGCCATCCCAAACAGCCCTAACGAGCCGGCGAGCCCCTCCGGTGTACTAACCCAGCGCAGGCTCTGCACACTCCTTATACTGCTCCGGAGTACAGAACGGAGCGTCCCCTGCACAGAAAAGAAACACAAGACAAGAGGGAAACATGTGGAGTCAGAAATCAGAGCACAGTGGAAGGCCAGCGACTACAGCAAGAAGGCAGCTGAATTCATGCATTAGGCAGCCTCTTGTCTGTACACACAGTGCCAATAACGTGGTGCAGGTAAAGAGGCTTACACAGTCAGTGTGCAGCGTAGGGTGAGAGGCAGGATTGATCAGCACCTGGGCTGCATCTCTCTGGAGATCGCATACTGGAGTTGGCTGTTTCACATATAACATGGGATAAGGGTTTCCCTAGCTAGTCCAGCTTGTCAGCTCCTACAGATGAGGCTTGGTTAGCCTAGGTTGGTATTTGGATGGGAGAGCTCTGAGCATCATTCAGGTGTTGCCGTGTTGCTGATTAAAGAAGTGGCACCTTTTCAGAATTGAAAGAAGGTTGTGGCATGGTGCTATGGATCTGTAAGTGGGTGACATTCCCGAACCTGCTTCTAACGCAGCATGCACACACCAGGGACTTATTGTTAACTTGAAAAACAACAAAACAAATCATAAACCTGAGCCTAAGCTTTCCCCTGAACTTGGCTGTTCTCTTGCAGAGGGCTTTTTCCCTCACTGTCCCTAGTTTCTTCTTCTGCAGAGAGACACTCTGCTATACTGCTGAATTTAACTTAATAGGGCCCATCTGGTCTGGCTGCCAGGCTGAATCAGCAGAAATACCTCTGCCTCTCTGTTCAGAGGTCCTAGGACTTGACACTCGGTTAGAGATGCACTGTGCGGCACTCTTTCTTTGAGATGAGATATTAAAAAAATCCCTGACCATTTGTGGTCATTCATGACCTCACAACACTTTTCACAAGGGTAGGGGGCTGGTAATGACATCCCCTTTGCAGTTTCAATGGGGGCATGGTATCCTCAGTTCCTATGACAAACTATTATGCACTGTTGCTGTGAGTTTTTAATCAGCTTTTGCATTCCGCCCCAGAGGTGTCTGCATTTCTGTGGTGAATAAATTGATCGCAGAGTGTAGTTTGCATCTGGGGCCATAGTCAAATGATATGCATCCCAAAGAGAGTAAGAATAATTTCTGCTTCTTTATTTCCCAATCCCCATTACCCATAAGAACGGCCATAGTGGTTCAGATCACTGGTTCATCTAGCCCAGTATCCTGACTTCCAACGTGACTTGCCACCTGCCTCAGAGGAAATTAACAGAACAGGGCAAGTTTCAAGTGCTCCAACCCCTGTTGTTCAGTCCCAGCTTTTGGCAGTTGGAGGCTTAGGGACAGCCAGAGCATGGGGTTGTGTTCCTGATCCTCTTGGCTAGCAGCCATTGATGGCCCTATCCTCCTTGAACTTATCTAATTCTTTTTTTGAACCCAGTTGTACTTTGAGCCTGAACAACATCCCCTAGCAATGAGTTCCACAGGTTGACTGTGCATTGTGTGAAAAACTACTTCCTTTTGTTTGTTTTAAACTTGCTGCCTATTAATTTCATTGGGTGACCCCTAGCTCTTGTGTTATGAGAAGGAATAAATAACACTTCCTTATTTACTTTCTCCGCACCAGTGATGATTTTATAGACTTCCATCATATCCCCTTAGTCATCTCTT